TGAAAAGGAAGTCGAATCAGTCACAATCAGAGCAATGACATCCGTCAAATATCAAAGACACAACACCACCACTCCGCCACATATTTGGGACACTCTGTGAGAGCTGGCAGATTGTGTTAGTGATCAACAGTTAATTCGTGGTTTCTGTAATATTCTGAAATCACAATTCAGGCAAATGGCAAGAATCCAAATATGAAAATATGGTATGTACAACTTAAATGCCCAATTTATTTTTGTTGCAATCAATTGCGCCTGTCTAGTTTAGTAAGGTTTCATAATTTCAAATAAATATTGACTACGGCAACACAAAATGTCAGAACTGATAGGATAATACCTGGGCATTTTTCAACTTGCAGAATTCAAAGATGCTAACAGCGGTGTTTTCAGATTTCCCAATTATATATTTTTTATATTTTTCACTAAGACATTTCTTAAGTTCTCGAAAATTCTGAAGTGTTAAGAAATTTTTGATTAACACTGGTAAATCTGACAACACTGCTGTTAGCAGTTTTTGAGATGTTCAAGCGTTCCGCGGTATGTTTTTTAATGTTGTTAATTGGAACTCAGTTAAATGTTAACTTAAGTAGCAAATTGCTTTGGTTTTTGTAGAGTATTTCCCAACCTCTATGACAAAAGGTATTAGGAGAATTCCCACCTAATTTTAAAATGAAAATTAATAAAAAATTTTGAAATATCGTTTTGTGATCGCAATACACGGTCTTCAAAAAAAAATCGATCTGGTTGTTTTTTTATTTATTGTTTGCATTTGATGAAAAATGAAATTCGTCGATATAACCGACGCGGTTTCTGCACTAGTGTTTCCCAGATACACGGCACGATATACAAACGAAATTAATTATGAATAATTTGACTACAAAGGAAAGCTAAAATCAACAATTTTTGATAATCGTATGGCTTTCACGATCTAATTTGTCCCGACCAATGATTTGAATGTAGGTTCCGTTCCGCTTTTAAAATGCGACATTAATGGGAAAATTACTAACAGGTGTGGCCGTATTGTTGTGATGGTAGAAATTCCTTTTGTTGCCCAGACCTTTAAGATCAATTATTTAATGATATATGGCAAAATCGTATTTATTTAATACTCCCCACAGCTGAAATGGCGTACCCGACTGAAATATTTATTAGTTTGTTGTCTACTATGCACACAGGATTTGGCTGATTTATTACAAGTATTTCATAGCGCTATAGCTATATATTAATAAATGATTTCGTTGCTGGAAAAATGGATTTTTAATAAAATATTTGTTGTCTGCAAATCGAGTGTTGCCATTTAATTTTCGACAAATCCCAGGAAATATAAAGTATGTAAAAATAAATAAGAACTAAAATTTCAGGTTTTCACGAAATTATATATTTTGACATGACAATTGTTTCGACAATACCGTGTTTTTATCAAATTTGATAAAGACAAGTTGTTGTCGAAACAATTGTCATGTCATAACATATAATTTCGTGAAAATCTGAACTTTTAGTTCTTATTTATTTTGATAAATGGATTTTCATCATGTGAAAGCCACCTCAGTACAATTTATAAAGTATGTATTGAATTCCATCATATTAAGTATTATAATTCGTTTACGCATCTATTAAAGACCTTTACTTGAAATTGAAGCTAACATCTAAACGAATATGGGTTGCACTTTTACTTATATTGGTGTTACTTCTTTTTGTTAATTATAAGGAGAAATCATGCCAGATACTATTAAAATGAATGGCAGAATCCAAATTCCAAAATATTTCTGCCTGCTCAAAAATCCCCAGCTATTCAGTTTTATAGTTCCACTTTTGACAGTTTTGAAGATATTTAACCCTTCCGGTACTTTTCACACACACTTATCTCGTTTAACAATATACTGCCGAAAAAATATCATATCGAAACAGAAAACCATCAGTCAACTCAACTGCCATGTTAATTGTTGAAAACCCGTCTTTGATTGTAGATTGTTTGTTAAACTTTTAGGGATAATGATTGAATAAAATAGGATGTAATGTTATTTCTTCTCAAAACATAGCGATTTAGCTATGCTACAGGTTGTGCTGTTATTATTCAAAGACCAGGTGTGTTCGCGTAGTTCATGAGTTCCATCAAATTATATGCAAATTTAGTTGAGTCCTTGATCTTGTAAACGATCTAATGTCACTTCGCATTATAATCGATCAAATATACAGGCTGGTCCGAAAGAAGAGAATAATTCTTGAACTTACATAAAAAACAAATCATATCAATATATGTTTGAAAGAGCTTAACGTTTGAGATACAAGCAGGCGGAAATGAATATATTTCTTATATTTTGCAAGAAACGCACGTCAGGGGGCATTTTCAGGTGCACAACACTTTTATTCCTACCAGTGGCGTCCGCTAGAGATGTGTATAGTATATTTTTGACGAAAAATGTGATACAACACTGGCATTTTGTCAGGTAAATATTTTTTATATAGTCTAGTCAATTCCCCAAAAATATCAGGCCTTTTATTTTTCCTGCACTGTTCTTGATTACAATAATGAAATAAAAAAGTACGAATAATTGCAGTGGATAGACGTAATTGTCAGATCACTCCTTGTTGATTTAAAATCAGTTTTTGGTGGTCAGAATTATCCATACTTACTTGACTTACTTTTTATTTTGAGCTCCTCAGTAGTGAAGGATTTTTTTAAAATTTATCAATAATACTGTCAGCAAACCATCCAATTTGGGGTGGTGGTGGTAAACTCGTATAGAATTTTTATATTAGACGATTCATTTTTTAAGAGCCACTTATTTTATATTTACGGCATTTTCAATTTTTCGCGCAGATTCTAAAACACAGATAGATGAACTTTATTTTCATGTTAATTTTATAAATAAAAACGGCATTCTAGCACTAAAAATAGGTGACTTGTACTGTATAAATTCCCTGAAATTTATATGGTCCTATTTGTTTTTTTTAAGGATCCCTTACTTGTTTTTATTTTTCACCTATTTTATGTATTAAAGAAGGGAAGGGTGCATTAAATGAGGAAGCACGTGCGACATTTCTGCCCAATTTTCAATAAAAATTAAAGAATATTTCATCTCATATTTTTTGTAATTTTTAATATACACGCTAAAATTATGTATTTTTAATCTATCGCAAAAAAATTATGTTTCTAAAATGCTTATTTTTTCAAATAAATATGCATTTGACATCTTCGAAGACAAATATGTTGTTTATGTCAATTTTATTTCAATTTAACATATTAATATTATTATATGGACAATTTTTATACTGAAAATTTTTTCTAATTTTTAATCAAAATTGAGGGATATTTCATTAACTAATAGTCTTTTTTTACTCAGAATACAGCGCCGTAGTCATATTTTTGTAATTTTTAAGATACGCGCTAAAATTATGTTTTTTTAATTGATCGCACTACATATTTTTGAACAACTTAATTGCTTTTCTAATACGCTTTTCAAAAATGCCAAATTGTTCAAACGTACTTTTTTAAATATACATTTTGACATGTTAGAAAACAAGTATGTTGTCTATCTCAATTTTATTGCAATTTAACATAATAATATTATTATTTTATTTTAAAAAAATAAATAGAAAATCTTCTGATTTTCTCAAATGTAGATAAGCATTTTGACAAATAGAAGCCAGACGAATTGTCCTCGTTAATGTCTAAACAAGCAACACGAAGTGTACGAAAAATGTCTGGAAGCTGCTGGAAATCAGTTTTTCATGGTTCACTGTTTTTTATATTCCGTGGTTTTTATTTTTTCTGCTGAGAATAATACACATATTATATACTTAATTTTTATACTCGAGAATTAAAGAATATTTCATTTAATATTAGTCTTTTTACTTAGAATAAATTGGCGTAATCATATTTTTTGTAATTTTTAAGATATGCGGTAAAATTATGTTTTTTTTTTTAATGGATCGCAGTATATATATTTTTTTCAAATATTCATTTTGACATCTGCGAAAACAAGTTTGATGTCTATCTTAATTTTTTTGCAATTTATTGTTTTAATATTATTGTTTTATTTAAAAAATAATAATATTTAGACAATTACTATAATAATTGGTCTAAAATATAGAATCAAGAATTTAGTGGAGTACTTAGATTTTTTTGTAAAATGTAAACAACGCGAAGTGTACGAAGCTGCTGGAAATCAGTTTAAGCAGTTCTTCAATGTTCACTGTTTTTTATATTCTGCAGTTCTTAAATAATCATATTTCTGACAAAATGTTAAGTGGAATGAAACCACGATAGAATATATAGAAGTACATTTTCCACAAATTTATTTAGACATTTATACATTTTTGGTTTCATACCAAAAGCGCACTGCAATTTTAAAAATACTAATGTGGCAAAATTTAATATTGAAGTTTTTTCTGATATCTCAAAAACTGCAATCAAAAATACACAAGAAAGAAAAAAATATGCAAAGTAGAAGGTTTCATAAACTAAATAATTAGGGGGTAGTATAGTACAATTTTTATTTACAAAATTAACTTGGAAATTGCTTCCAAACAGGACGATTATACAAACTAATTTTAAACAAAAAATGTGTGAAAAACTGCGATAAAAAACGTAATTTTAATTTTTTTGAAATGATTAATGATGATTAAATTATATATTTAAATGTGTCAGCAAGAGACAGCGATCGTTTATGGGCGTATTAACGTTTTGGCAGATACATATTAAATATATCAAACTGCATTTGGATTCAAATTCATGCAAAAAAAAGAACTAGTGCGGCAAACGCTACGAGATTTGTGCGTAAAACGTAAAGGAGATGAAAACGTGACCTGCAAACATTGCGACATTTTAAGCGAGACGCGTAACCAAAACGGATGACGGAATTTGCTATTCCGAACGTTTCCCACAAGTTGTGAGTAAAAACACGCACCTCTACACGGAAAATTTAAATATTTCGTCGCAGAACAAAAAAAAGTTTTCCCTAATCAGTGAAGAAAACACACATACACACATACAAAATTACCTCAAAGAAGTCGAGGAAAATGACGTTCGTCAATGTTGACGTAGGGGATCTATAAAGATAACGATAGGTTTTAACCGGACAGCTTACAGCACAAACGGACAAATCCGAAACCATAAGTCCCACTAAAAGTGGGTTCCGTGGTACCCTGCTGGTACACAATTTGTAACCAAACGCCAAATTTCCAAAAATACCAACGCATGTTATAAATATATAAATGCTTATTATAATTTGCGCAAGAGGCATTATTTTATTTTGATTATACTGCGGTTATTTGTATTTTTTAAAATTGATCACTGGCATTTTCGAATTTGTTCGAAAATGAGCGGGAAACTGCCGGGAATGACCGATGAATGCGCGAGAGTTTCCCAACGAGATGTGAGCTGCTCCCGGGGAAAGTTGAAATCGAACTGACGGCGACTCGAGCGCGCTTTGGGCTATATCCCCAGCATCTTTTTATCATATATTTTACCCCCTCCTCCACCTCCCCCCAACCAACTTTCGAATCCTCTCCTATTCTTCTACTCTGGGGAAAAATATCGTTTATTATGGCAAAAAGTTGCGTTTTTGTCTTATTGTTCTCCGCATTTGTCAACCACTTTTGCTCTCCCGTTTATCTTATACGATGAACCAAAGATAAATGACCGAGATATTTCGTATTTGCTTCATATCTCTTCATTTTTCCGGCGGTCGGCCGGATAAATTGGAAAAGTGCGTGTTCGACTTTCCAATTTTTTTTCCTTGTTGTAGTCGGTACGCGGTTAAAGGGTACAACAAAACCGGTTTTCCGCTTATCAAATAGTGAGAACGGAAGTTTAGATTTGAGCCGGATCTATTAGGTAAAAATTGAATTCTCTTGTTACATTCGAAAAATCGAATTTTTCAAAAGTATCTACGCTCGTATAAAAATTTTGTATCTCGATAACGGTATGTCCAATGGGATCACCGTTGGTACAGAAATGATCAACGTCGAAAAAAAAAATTTTTTTTGTTTGTCCGTTCTCCGTTCTCGTCTTTTGGTTTTTCCTGAATAACTTTAGAACGTTTGTAGCTACAAAATTGAAATTTGCCTCCTTTTTAACCCTCCACGATATACATAAACTTGTAAGAAATGGCTCCGGCATCCATTTTTTTTTCGCGATTTTCGACTGTTACGAAACACGATAAGTGTCGGAAATTTGAAGTAATCGAGTTCATATTTTTCATATATGCAGCTTTACCCCGTGACGGAACTTATTGAAAATCGGGGTTCTGGGGGATTGGGAAATATTTTAAAAAATAAAAAATCGGAATCTACAAAAAAGACCGTTTTTTTAAAAACCGTTTACAAGACCGAAAAAATTCTTCAACCAGAAGACGCAGAGGATACGGCTCCATAAACGTTTATTCTTGACAATTTTTCAAAAATATACAGGGTGCGTCGCAATTTCAAAAAACCTGAAAAATGGGACTCTCTATTGTTAGTTTCTTTTACATGACCATATATATAGCCCATATAGACAGCTAAAACTTTCATATTTAAAGTTTTTAAGTATTGCACAGGGTGTTCGCGATATTCCGTGGAATATTAAAAAACGTAATGAGTGCCCCAAATTTGCAGCTACCGACTTCAGACTTGGGAGAGAAGTAGAACTCCAGACCCATATTTAGACTGTTTAAATTGGGGGCAATAAAATAAAGCGAAGTATCTTTTTTAATTTTTGAAAAATTAGTTATGGACAAAAATCTAAAAGACCCTGAAAATTGTTCTTTAAAGTAGTAAATTATTAACTGTAAATCAAAATTCCTACAAAAAATAGCTAATCCGTTCAGTGTTATAGGGCGTATCAAGGGCTACAATTTTGGTATTTACGATCTTCATCTGTCACGTGTGCTGCTCGAGATTTTTGGAAAAATCGTAGTCAATTTAGTATTACGGTGTACTGCATGGTTTCCGAAAAGATGTATTTTCTCGAAAACTGTTTATCCTATTGAAAAAATTCATATACTTTGAAACATACATCTAGGGTTATAACTTTTACTTGCGGTATTTTTTGTATTATGTACAGGGTGTGTCGATTATTCGTAAAAAAAGAGCTCTTAAAAATGCCGTTTTCGTGGGTAAATTATTAGCCGTAAATTAAAAACTATGAAACATGAGATAATTTGGTTTAAACAGTGTCGAGATAGAGTGTCAAGTTTCGTCTGTCATACAGGGTGCGCCAGATATTGGAACAAATATAATTGGGAATCGCTATTATTTACAAAAATTTTTGAATATACCTGTTATGTGTACAGTTTACAACATTTATCAAAGTTTGCCGTCACTTTGAAGTTTGGGGAGACTTAAAAGATGCTTTATATCGGGTGTATGCATACTAAAATTACATCGATTTTGCGAAAGTTTAATAGTGGTCCGCAGGAGCACGATAGAAAAACGGTATGTCTATTTACCACAAGAAACTGCGAAGCGACGATTTTTCGAAAGCAATCTTGTTTTTGACTGCTTTCACTTTGGTTTTTATCCACTTTTTCAAAAATATTATTATTATTATTATTCAGATTATCCCCCTTACTCAATCATGATGTAAAAAGGGAACGTAGCTGTACTATAACTATAGCACAAATAACCGATGATATATTTAGGACTACAGATGAATGCAAGCTGCCACTACTAACCCTCTTAGACTTATCGAAAAATTTTGATAAACTTCGTCACCAAATTTTTATTTCAATATTAAATTTTATTGGTTTTTCAAAAAACGCAATTAATCTTCGAGCGGTAACTTCTTCCCAGAAAACTTGATCTTTTAAGCGGGATACTACATCATAATTTTAATCTCCTTTTCGGTAGTATTTTGCTCTTTTAATACTAGAATTTTTTTTTTACTAATTACCGAATTCAAGAAAGATGACATCTGCAACTAAGCAAAATTCCCACAGGTGCTGGATTGGATTGAGATCCGAACTTTGAAGTGGAGTTTAATTTTGCGTGGAAAAAAGTATTTGTTTTTTTTTGTCTGTTTGTCCGTTCTCTGGCGTCGCTTCATAAAAACGCGAATAACCTCTGAACCGTTGAAACCAGGATGCTTAAATTTTTCTCTTTATAAACTAGTCGCGAGATACATAAGCCCATAGAAAATCTGTCTTTTTTTGCGATTATCGTCTGTTTTTCGTACATCGCTATGAAACACGGTAAGTGTCCGAGGTTTGCCGTTATCGATTTCAAAACTGGCACAAATATAGAGTTTAGTGCCCTAACGGGACCTATTGAAATTGGGGCGTCTGGGGGATCGAGAAGTATTTTTAAAAATTTAAAAACCGCATTTGCAGGGTATCGAGAAAAAAATCGTTTCTCGTATACGCGATCGAAAAAATTCGTGTACCAGAGGACCCCTGATCCTGATTTTTTTAAAATATACAGTGTGCGCCCGCAAATTGCAAAAAACTGAAAATAGGATAATTGACCATAACTAGAAGGCTGTGTTTCAGCTGCCATTTTCTTTCACGCATCCATATAATCCGTATAGACTGCTAAAACTTTTGTATTTTAGATTTTCACATATTGTACAGGGTGTTCGAGATATTCTGTACCATATTGAAGAGTGTAATAGATGTCTCAAATTTGTAACTATCGAGTTCAAATTTAGCAGAGAAGTGAAAGTCCACACCCGCATCTAAACCGTAGAAAGTGGGAACAATCAAGACTTGCCTAGTTTTTTTTTAATTTTTGAAATTTTTGTTTTTGTTATTGTTGCTTCCAGAAGTAATAACATTTCTGGAAAGCTATTATCTTGCTCGGCAAAATTATTTTGCCAGGAGACGCAGAAGATTCGGTACTATAACTTCTATTTCAAACATTTTTTCGATTATGTACAGGGTTTTTCAATTATAGACAAAAATCTAAAAGACCCTGAAAATTGTTCTTTTTCATAGTAAATTATTAAGCCGTAAATCAAAATTCTCAAAAAATATGGTCAATTGGTTTAAAAGAGCTACAATTTTTGTATTTACGGTTGTCGTCTATCACATACATTGTTCGGGATATTTGAAAAAATCCACTCGATGACGTCATTTAGGACGTACTGCACAGTTTCAGAAAACAAATATTTTTTCCTAAAACATTGTTCGCGAAATATTTGAAAAAATAACATTGGAAATCGCTATTATTTGTAAAAAATTTTATATTTAGCGTAACTTTGAAGTTCGGCGAGATGTAAAAGACACTTTATACAGAGTGCATGCACAATAAAATGGCATCTATTTGGTGAAAGTTCCATAGTGGTCCGCAGGAACACGATAGAAAAACAATGCTTTCCTCTAGGGCCCAAAGCCTTAAAAATACAAAGTTGCGCAGTGACTTTGTTATAGACTGCGTACGCAGCAGACGATACGCACTGCCACGATTTTTCGAAATCAGTCAAGTATTTGTGCTCTCTCTTGCAAATTTTCTATTAAAATATTTAGCTAAATATTAGTATCCATTGTCCCTTCAATTATTACCAAATTTCCAACACTTGATGCCGCCATACTTCCCATACCATTATGCCTCCTCCATACATAACAGTCTTAATTGTATTCTTAATTTGTAAAATTCAATTTGTAATAATTTAGTATTTAAACAATACCAAAAAATTCAAATAAAAAAATATATATCGTACTATATAAAATATAATTTGCCAATAGTAAAAATACAAAAATTACAAGTGGTAGTGCCGATTATAGAACATTTTTAGTATTTTATTTTCTACGCTTTAGTTGCGCTTTATAATATTTTATTTTTAAAGAAATTGATGTAGCCAGACTTTTGCTGGACATTGTATATCGGCGAGTACTCTTCATTTAGTTTTTTTAGTTAGTTTACAAATAACGATGCACTATGAATTTGTGGGGCTTTTTAAAATGGAACGTTTTTTTGCAAATACTACCAGAACAAGCATATTCTTGGTGGGGTACTTAGAAGCTTTTAAAATTTTAATACGTATTAAACAAACGCTTTAAATCGCTTTAAAAAAAAATGTTTACTAATCCTCCATTCTTGAATTTTTATTTAAAATATGGATCGACCACTGCTCCTTATGCATCAAGAATTTTTCTTTGACGTATTTTTTGTTAATTAAATTAAAATTAGAAAAAGTGAAATAGTTTCACAAAAAGGCTAATTTGTGCCGAGAAAAATTTGCATTTATCGGAAATTCTAATAGTCCTTTAATAAGGATGTCTTTTGAAATGTCGATAAAATTGCATTTAAGCGGGCACACAAGTTTTATCTGCCTCAAACGGAGTTAACTTTTGCCGCAATTTGAAGATACGAAAGAGTTTTAATACGCCTGGGTGTAGTGAGAGGTCTAGTACCGAAATATTAAAATTCACCAACGTTTTTACAAATCTGGTTTAA